GGTGGGAAGGTTGGGAAAAGATGAGTTGATACCAAGGGCTGAAGTAGAAAGGAAATGTTTAGAGAATAATGATGGCAACAAATGTACAGTTGTGCTTGACACAAGGGGTGGATGAGTTGTACAAGCCCCCAATAAAGTGATTTTTTTTTAATTAGCATTGGTAACATCTACTCCGGAGTCCACTGTGCATAGGGGGTTGGTATGTTGAGCTGCTATCCAGAGTCAGCTGTTTGAACCCACCAGCCTCTCTGAGGGTAAAAGACGAGGCTTTCTGCACTCATCAAGATTTATGGCTTAGAAACCCCAAAGGGGCAATGTTTCTCTGTCCTATAGACATAGAGTCACTGTGAGGCAGAATTAGGTTGATGGAAGTGAGTTTAAATTTTTTAAGTAACATCTACTCATTCGCCACCTATTTATTGAGCACTTTCTGTGAAGGACCAGATAATATTTGAGCTTCACAGGCTTTATGGTCTGTTGCCACTCTGCTCTTCCAGCTAAAGAGCAACCAAAGGGAATAAACAACTGTATATGACTCTGCCAGTAAGCATTTATTTATGGATACATAAATTTGAATTTCATGTAACTTCAATGTGTTGAGAATATTCTTTAAAAATTTTATCATTTAGAATTTTGAAAACCATACTTAGCTCATGAGCCATAAAGAGTCAGCATTTGATCTGCGAACCAGTGGGTGCCCAGCCCTGTCCTAGGTTCTTGGCACAGGAACACCCAGTGGACTTCACTACAGCCCTGCCCACAGGCAGCTGAACATTCTAAGCAGTGGGAAGGCAGAGGATAAATATAACAGATAAACGATGTGGTAGTCTAGAAAGCAATAGGTGCAATTTGCAAAAAAACTCAAGAATTAGAGTAAGGAATAAGAGATCAAGAATCCTGGGGCTGGAAGGGCCTTCTAATAGTGTGACCTTCCTAATGGTCTGTCCACCAAAGGAGAAGCCAAAAATACCCGGCGGGGGCGGGGCGGGGTGTTTTGTATTGTATTGTATTGTATTGTATTGTTTTGTATTGTATTGTACCCATCAGGTCAGTTGCAGTGACTGCGCTCTCCGTACCTTTGGTTCTCACCCCCCTAATCAATGCTTCCTGATTCCGCTTATGTATAGGACTCGGGTTAATGGTATTCGTGTGAAATCAATTCGCATGAGTTTCCCTCTTTCTTGCATCAATGAATCTTGAGTTCTTGCTTCAAAGATAAACTGTCTTATGTATTTGCACACATGCATATAGGGGGGAAAATGAACATTTCTGGAGAGCATTTACAATTTCAGGGAGTGGTGTATATATTTTCAGAACTAGTTGTTAATAGTCACCAATTAGTTATTGCTCAAAGGAACCCTGTTGGCATCGTGGGGTTAAAGCATTGGGCTGGTCACCAAAAGGTCAGTGGTTTGAACCCATCCACTGCCCCAAGGGAGAAAGCTGTGGCAGTCGGCTTCCATGAAGAAACTCTCTGGAGAAGTTCTGCTTCTCCTATAGCATTTTGTCTCCTGTCTTCTAAATTATCTGACCCTGGAAACAGGTCTGGCATAGACTAAGGAAAGACCGAGTCAGCGCTCCTCAGGCAGCCTCGCTGCTGTCAGGTGGGTCTCGTTGGACTTGTATTCTGCCCTACCGGTCCCTTCACTTCCCCACACGTAGCCGAGGGTCCTGAAAGTCCTCGTGTCCCGGTCTCCGCATCGTCTTAGCTAAACCCACTACGAGCCATTTTGTGCGTCTGCTCTTAAAATAAAACTGCTCACACCAGTTTCCCGTTGCCGACAATCTCCTGCTTATTGAGTCCTACAAGTCTTCATCTTACTTACCTCTTCAAACATAGCTTCACATCTGTGACACCGTCTGTCTTGGTTGTACTTCTCTCTCTTAAGCTGCACGTGCTCCTGTTTGCGATTTTATACCACATCAAATCATATAGTTATCTTTTTGGGTGGAAAAATCATTTCTGCCTCATGATTTCATGTGCCCCTCGTGCTCTGCTACCTGGACAAACTTGTGAAGCACCGCATGCTCGTGTGCACCTGTTTAAAGCTGTGTTTAGTGATATTTGGGCCGTCGTAACGTAGAGCCTCCCTTTTCATGGATGTGTAGAAGACGTGTGTTTCTTGTGTTTCTGTTAACTCCCACTTGATCATCGGTGGCATTGTGAAGACCATCTCGTACTCGTTTTCAGGAGAAAAGGCCTTCCAGGTTATTGTTTTCCTCTTTGGGAAATAGCTGAGATTGTTGGGAAAAAACAAGAGTGAAATTGGAGATTTTTATGAACTATGGATTATTTTCTCATGTCAACAAAATAAAGGCCCGCAAACCACCTATTTGCTGCATTAAGTAACCACAAAATTAGTAGGCAAACTAGGTCGACCAGCACTGTTAGTTATCGGAGTCTGATGAAGAAGAAGTGGAATATTTTTATGCAAATAGCATGACTTGTTTGGTTTTGCCACCTGCACCCTCCTCCCACCCAAGGAGTTTTCATTAGCACGCTTACAAAATACCTTTGGGTGGTGGGGAGAGCATGGTTGACTATATATATATGTAGGCTTGTGCTGTTTGTTTAAAAAATATGGTAGATGTGTCCATATTTACTCCCATCCTTACCTCTCTCCTCCAATATCAGGTGTGTTCTCTTCTCTCTCCTCTGTTTTCAAAGTCTCCATCCCTATTAGCACTCCCCCCACGGGCTCGTTCTGGACACAGACTCCTAGCAGCCCTGACCTAGACACTGCTCACCATTATGTGTCCTTCCCTCCATGCTTCTGAAAGTACGTCCACTGCACAGACCTTTTTGTTGTAGATATACTTACTGAAGTGCGCATAGGCATGTGTTTACAGTTTGACAACTCCTTTATGTAGCATACACCCAGGTAACCACTGCCATGTTCAAGAAAAAGAATTGCAGCCCCCTCAAACCCCCAGCATCTCGCCATTTCCCCGCTGGAAGTAGCCAGCATGCAGCCTACATTCAGACAGCTTTGTTGATAATCATTCGCTTGCTCTGCTTTTTAATTTTACCACCTACATATGCACCTCTTCACACTTCTATTCTCTCTACCCTCCTGATGATCTCAGAATTCTCTTGGTAAGGTTATCTGTGAACAATTGCACATCTAACGCGGGTTCTCAGTGCTGATCTCGCTGGGTCTCTGCAGTATTTGCCAGAGACTACTCTCAGTCTTCTCGTCTGTGGTTGGATTCTTCGGCAGCCCTTCCTTTCCCGCCCTCTCACAGGCTCACTCCTCTGCGTGCTCCTTAAGTGCCACTGGGCCAGCGCTCCATCCATCCCACTTCTGCTCTCACACCGCCTACTGTTGGGCAGTGACTTTCCCACGTGTTCGCCGGTACACAGCCTCCAAGGGAGACTTCACCATCTCTCCCTCGAGACCGGCTCCTCCTCCTGCTGCCTTTGCCATAGCTTTTGTGAGCCATCACCAGTCAGTCATCCAAGTCAGAACTGTGGGGAGCATCCCGATAGCTCCTGGCACTCATTCTCCACATCTTTCCAATGACCCAAGTGAAAACAGTTTTATTTCCTAGTGTATTTTTTAAGCCAATTCCCTTGTTACTCATAGTTTAGGACCCCATCACCTCATCTGGAATTTATAACAGCCTCGTACTACGTCATTGATCTTTCTTACTCTTTCTAGCTTTCTTCTACTCATAGACCCTCTCCTTATAGCTGTAATTCAATAGTTTTTTCAGAAATACGGTTAACTATTCTGCTTCTGCACTTAAAACCAGATAAAACCTGAGCTCCTTGACTTTTGCCTCCTTCCCTTCTTCTGCCTGGCTGTCTCCAGCCACATCTCCCACCACACCCAGCTGCGTGCTCTGTGCTTGGCTTTCTTAATTTCGAGCCATTGTCCATACTGTTCCGCCTGCCTAGGATGTTCCATTTTACTTACATCTAATTCTTTAAGAATAAATTAAAATTTTATACTCCAAGTCATCCCCCTGGACATCCCCCTCTCAGCACCCCATGAAGCCCTCGCACACAATTCTACCATCATGCTGACGTTGTCTCCAATCAGCTACGCACATGTTTGACACGTTCTAAAACGGTAGTGGGTCAGGTGGAAGGAGGAAGGAAGAGGAGGAGGAGCTAAGAAAAGTACACATTGATGTTAACAGAGTTAAAGAATGTCTTACCATGTTACATACAGTAATACTCAGGATCATCTGAATGTGGGGTCTCCTCAGTAACCTAGGGAAGGACTATTTCTAAGTCATTCTTAGTATCCAAAGAGTTCTTTTGGAAATGTTGTTTGGTTCTGTCAAGTTGGTTCCGACGCACGGTGACCGTCTGTACAACAGAAGAAAACACCCTCCAGGCCTGCGCCATCCTCACAGTGTTTTATGTTCGAGCCCATTGTTGCAGCCACTGTGTCCGTCCATCTTGCCAAAGGGCTTCCTCTTTCCCCTGCCCCGCTCCTGACACCATGGCCAAAATGCATGAGGTAAAGTCTCTCCACCCTGGCCTTTGGAAAGAGCATTCTGGCTTTACTTTTTCCGGGACAGATGTGGTTTTCCTTTGGCAGCCCGTGGTACTGTCTGCCGTCTTCGCCAGCAGTGCAACTCACATGCCCAAGATTCTTCTTGGGTCTTCCGTAGGCAATGGCCAGCTTTCACTTCACATGAAAATAGCCGTGATTTGGGGCAGGCGCTCACGCTCCTGGTCCTCAAAGTAACAACCTTGCCATTCAACACTTTAGAGAGGCCCAGATTTACACAGTGCAGCGCATTGTTTGATCTCTCGATAGCTGCTGCTTTACAGTGAGTTCCTGTGATCCACATTGAAGGCTGCAGACCTGGATTGCTCTTCATCGAGTGACACGACAAGGTTGTGTCATCGGTGTGTCGCAGGTCGTGAGTCAGCCGTCCTCGAATCCTGATGCTGCACTCTCTTCTTCATGTAAGCCAGCTTCTCTGATGATTTGCTTTCAGCATTTAATAAACTTCAACTCTCACATATTTTCATGTTGCAGACCACACCAGGACCACCTAAAAAGCCGAAGACCCCTTCCAGGCCATCAGCCTTAGTGTATTGCTACAACTGTGCACAGAAAGGTCACTATGGACACGTAAGTGTGATGTATCTGTGCATAATGCACTGTGTTGTTCAGGGCGAGGGTGCTGAAAGAGGGACTTGACAAGAATGTAATCTGTATGCTTTGCCATTTCATATGCCAGCACTTGCTCTCTGAGGTAAGACTCAACGTGCTGTGCCCATCTCTGCCAGAGTCATATTTTGTGAGAACACATTTGTTATTGTTCTACATGGTAATAAGCCAGCTGAGCTGACACAAATACAGTTCGTAATAGAGATCAGCAAAAAGGCAGCCATTCTCGAGAGAGCTTCACTTTGACACAGCCAGATTATGGTCTTAGACTTTCTGTGTGCTTCTCCGGTCCTAGTTTTCTCTGGCAGTGTGTTAAGTTCCGTCTGACTTTACTCTCTTGCAAACCCTGACCCACCGCTAAACCCAGATTCCCCTGTCCATTCAGCATCCTCCCGAACTCCAGCCGAAAATGTCAGGCCTTGTGAGCTCTGGATGCTAGCTGTCAAAGCAGAAAAAGCATCTTGCTATGAGGTGAGGGTGAGCCCTTTGTCCAGTTGCCACATCAAGTGTGAAACACCAAGGTCTCGTTCAGAGACAGTGCCGTGGGAAGTGGCTCAGGGCTGTCCACTCTGGGCATCTTCCGGCAGAGGAAGGAAAGGCAGAGGCACAGGAGGCATGAGAAGGTCCAACTTTCTTGGGCCCTACAGGCTCCAGCAAGGCAGACTTCTTACCTGCAATTCAAGCCATTAATGGGAGAGGGCATGGAGAAATGAGTCCCTCAGTCCCCATATGGGCTTTTAACAGCCTAGAAACCCCAGGAGCTAACATCAAATCTGCCTTGGAGATGGTACCAGGAGGTGGAGAAATTCAGAGTCCTGGAAATGGGTAGGGTAAGAGCCAGTAAATGGGATGGTCTCGCAGGAAACCTCCTAAATTCTGACCTCAGTGAGACCTGGGGTTGAGGTGAAAGGGGAGAGAACAACAACAACAAATGGGAGAAGACCCCAAAGCAATCAAGTCCTCAACAGAATCCACCCATAGATCAAGCTCGCCTTCCAGAGGGGAGCAGCTAGGTCATGGGAGTTGAGAGGTAGAAAGGTATAAAAGTGAGGGTGAGGGTTTGATCCTCAGTTCTTACCTTTGCTCTGCGACTGGCTTACCAGTGCGATTTGAACAACCTTGCTTGTTTCCTCTGGTCCTCAGCCAAGTTGGACAGGGGTCTCCAGTAGCCACCTTCCTCGGTTCTGGCTGGGATGCCCTGTCCAGGGTGACCATCCTATGGCTGTACAATGGGGCAAACCCTTGAATGTGCTGGTTCCCCGTGTGTGGAGCTCCCACTGAAGATGTCATTAGAAACGACATCGTTCACAATGTATCTGCTCTAGATGATTTATTGCTCTGTCTATATATTCCTCCTCTCTGCCAGCATTTAGTTGGTGTTATAGCTACATACCTTTTAGGAAACACAGTCACATAAACAAGAAGCCCTGGTACCACAGTGGGTTAAGCATTAAGCTGCGAACCAGAAGGTCAGGGGTTTAAGCTCACCTTGCTCTGGGTGAAGCTTCACCTGTGGGACAAAGATGAGGCAGTCTGCTTCTGTAAAGATTTACTGCGTTGGAAGTCCTCTGAAGCAGTTCTGCTCTGTCCGATAGGATCGCTATGACTTGGGGTCAACTTGAGGGTAGTAAGTTGTTTTGCTTCTTTGGTAGGTAGTCACGTAAGCAGTCCATTGAAAAATTAAACACACATACAGTTTATGTTTGCTTACCTCTTTAAAACCTCCTTATTCAAATAAGGAAAAACAGTTAGAGTTGGATGCATAGCATTTACTAGTTACGTGTATTATTATAGACGGGCAATATAGTTAAAGCATTTGAAATGTATCCCCTAAAATCTGGATTTAGATAATTTAAAGTTTATCATAAAGTACATTTGGCAGCCTCATCCCAGCCATACAAGAAGAACTGTAGAGCTTCCACACTAATAAGGAAGGTGGATCAGTGGTGTGGCTCGTCCAGAATAGTAGTTTAGTTCTACAGCCAACTAGCAGTTGTCTGTACTGATGGAGGGGCCAGCGATGTGTGGATAGTTGGAAGGTCATTTACATTTAGCTTTAGGAACATTTCTAGTACCGGGAGGCTCTGTAGTCACACCCTGGTAGACGACATGGGATCCAGATAGGAGAATAGCCAGGTTGTCAAAGACAGCTGAGAACCCTTCTCCTTCAGTTTCAGAAACCCAGCTCCACTGATGTTCTTACCGAGCAGCCCTTTTCTATCAGACATTCTAAGATGCATGAGATGCAGTCGTCCACGTCCTTTCCTCGTCTCCTTCTCTCTGATGGGGGGAGGCAGAGACAGTCTCCTGGAGCTCTGTGGGAGGAGGCACCCCGTGACAGGAGGCTGTCGTCATACTAAGAGGTGACTACAGGACAAGTGGGGGGCCGGAGAGGGTTGAAAAGGTTTTGTTGAAGTAGGTGTCGGATGAACATGAAGCTCTCTAGGACCATTCTGTTCCATAATTCTCCCTCGCTGTGTTAAGCTTGAGCCTGGCGGTGCTGTGGTTGGGGAGCCTTGGACTCCTGCCCCTTCCGAGGGTTGCTGTGGGTGGGAAAGCGCTTGCTGATGGCAGGTGGGACTGTGTGCTTAGAATTTTGGACCCACGTCTTCCGTGGGAACTTGGACAGCACAGCAGTTCTTAAAGCTACTATGTAGGTTTGCCTTGTGACTTCCAGGGTCCAAAGAAAGCCCACAAAGATCCAGAAGGTCACACACAGAGCAACTTAAAGACAGTTGACGGGAGGAAAGAAACAAAGAGTCAAAATTACTGAGATAGAAAACAAAATGAACAGGAACATCAAAATCAAAAGCTGGTTTTTTGAAAATCTTTTCTTTTCAAAATAAAAGCAATTTGGGGGAGAATTACTTAAAAAGGCATGAGCAAACAGTGAGTGAAATCACGATGAGACTTTCCCATGATAAAGGAAGACTATAAACTTTATGAAATTTCATAAAATTCAAAATTAAATCTGGAAAGATAAAACAATCCTCTAAAAAATATAAATTAATCAAACTGATTTAAGAAGAATAAACCTACATGGATGACTCACCATTAAAAATACTGTGAATCAGTGATCAACACTACCCACTATACCAGGCCCAACCAAAAAGTTTTAGAGACAAATTTTACTGAACTTTCACTCAGAAACAAGTAATCCAGGAATCACTAGCTAACTTAATCTTGTGAAATTATACTCTAAAGCAATGCCAAAATAGTTACAGCCTGATCGCACTGTCATAAAGGCAGAGACCCTCACCACTGACACTGGTTCACCGAAAGCACACTTGTGGTGAGAGCACAAAAGCTGACAGTGCAGCTGTCGAGGGGCGGCATGATGACTGGAGACGCGTGGGGAATCACAAGAGTGCCGCGGAGATCTCTGTCAGGTCAGCACAGCTTGCATGCTTGAGGGAGAAACAAGAGTGAGTTAGGGTAAAATGTTACGATTTGATAATATTGAGTAGTGAATGTAGATTTCATTACTTTATTTTCTAAATTGAGTGTGTATTTGGTGTCATTTTTTAACTCTGCAAATTATGTAATAGACTTCGAAGGCTGGTGTGGTCCAATGCCTTAGAAGTGTCAGTCCATATGTAATGGCACAGTGACACGATGAGTCAGCCAATCCTCTGAGTGTTTCACATACTCTCTCCCTAAGCAGCAGTCCCGCTGGTCTTCAGTGCCTAGCTAAGAAGTGTCACGCTGCACACATAAAGATGAAGCATAAGGATGGAATGGCAAGGCTCTGAGAGGAAGTGTCTGTCAAAGAACAGATACTTCCTTTCAGATTTGTTCCTATCCAACTGGACAGATGTCACAGATGGAAGTTAAAAAGCCTGCTCTCTGCGGGGCAGCTCAGGCTGAGATGTGAGTTTGGGGGTGCACATCCACGGGAGGCCAGAGCCCATGAGTGGGGGGCCTCTCCTGGGAAGGGAGAGAGAGCAGTGAGCTAAACTTGGAGAAATGAAGAGAGCGGACCCTTGGGGTGTTTTAGAATCTTCTGGGAGCAATTTGAACTAGACATAGCCAATTTCCCACTGCAAGAATCACCACGATGGAGAGCAATGTGGGCTGGTTAAAATGAGCGTGCAAACCACTTGTGTAGAGGGAAAAGAGCCAGGAGCTAAGGGTTTGCACCCATATTGGGGAGGTGGGAAGATGAGAAGGAAGAGCACTTGTTGGGAGGTTGTTGGGGGACAGCTAGGTGAAGGAGTAATACTAACACGAGGCCGAATAAAGCACCCTCTAACGCAAAGGTAGGGAATCCATGGGGCATTTTTATATTTATCACCTCATTTGTGGGCTTAGTGATCAAAGGTTTAATTAAGCCACCCCTGATGTGATAGTTGGACTTGCTTCTCTTTAGTGAGCTGGTAGTGATGATTTCAATGGCCTGGGGCCAGATATTTCCCACCCCCTATTCTGACAGATGCCAGTGCTGCTGGAGCCCACCCCTAAAAGAAGGGTTTTAATATTTAGAAAAGTAGAGGGAGAAAATCTAAGCCTGGAGTAATAACGTCGAGCCTGGATTGGGGGAGGTGGGGAAACTGAGTGGTCACCCCCACAAGGCCATAGCCCCATGCACAAGTGGTCTGGGGCTCATCTCCAAATAAAACCCAGCATCTTGCAAAAGAGGTTGTCTGAACCGTGTGGCTTTGTGAGCATCATCATTTCAAATGCCGTTTGCAGGAATGTACAGAAAAGCGGATGTTTAACCAAACGTTTCCCACATCTCCCTTCGTTTACTACTATGATGACAAATATGAAATTCAGGAGAGAGAACGAAGGATCAAAAGAAAAGTCAAAGGTATGTTATTAGATTTCTTGTTGGCTACTGCAATACAGGCTTCCCCTCTGAAAGTTGGGAACATTCCTATGAACCCTTTTGTGAGCCGTTGCGTGTATTTCTGTGGGATTTTTTTTTTTAGCATTGCTGTTGTTAGGTGCCTTTGTGTTGGTTTGAACTCGTCCATGTAGAGTAGAAAGAAACAGTGCCCAGGCCTGTGCAATCCTCACAGGTCCTGTGCCAACCTCATTAGACCAGGAAACAGCCTACCCAGTACAGTAGCATGTAGTAAAGGCAGGAAGTAACTGAGGAACATGCACCCTTCGGAAAGTGGAGTCCAGGTACACGTGTGCGCCCAGGCCGCTCTCCAAGCGGGGCTGTGTGCTTACCTCTGTAAGGGCTGTAAAAGAAAACCAACGCTGAGCCTCTCTTCCCTCTTTGCTGCTTTCCTGTAAAGGTGAAAACCCTCTTCAGACTTCTCTCTGTTACAAACAGGTGCGACTGTAGGTCTTTCATGAACGCAAAGTGGCATCGAGTAAACACTCAAAGAGCCGGGAGACCTATAGTTCCTAAATCCCTCTGTTGGTGAGGGGAGGGGTCATTAATTGACATGGTAACTGTGTCCAGTAACTGCACAGAAACTGGAACATTCTTGATCTCCAGAAGTCAAGCACCCCCTTCATATAATCCTGTGTCCTGATCTATGCACAATAAACCATTTTCTCAGGTAGAAGCATTCTAGAAAAGCCCCTGCCCCCAAAAAACTACTGTTGCTGCCCAGATACATACATATGTGTACATACATGATAGCCTCTTTCAAGGCTTTTCTCCTTGGCAGGTAGATGTTTTTCCCCTTTTTACATCGCCAGTCTTTTTCATGCAAAGACTGGAGCTCTGGGCCCCCGTCTCCGGCTGTGGTTTGTTTACTTACACCTGCCTACTTCAACTTCTTTCTTATAAATGTGAGCTTCTCACCAGAGTCCGATTTCTGCCCCTTCTCCTGCCTGCTGCACACTTGAAGGTGCTCTGCTCGCTTCCTCTCCTGCTTTCAGGACAAAAGAGTGTGCTCTTCAGGGGCTCTGCACAGTGGGCATTTTTGTCATCCTTGTCCGAGCTCCCTCTGAGCCCAGGGCCTTTTCCAATGGAAAGTGCTAGTTCTCAGGGAAGTAGCAACATGCATTCTCTCAGCACCTGGCTATTGTTCCGTAGAGGAGGGGACTTCAAAAGGTTCATGGGAAAATCCCATGATGTCTTAATTCCATTTTTGGGTTTTTCCCATTTCTGTATGTCCCTAGGTGTTTTATAATGTGTGTTTGATCAGAGCGGAACAATTTACTTTTTAACTCATTATGTTAACGATGCTGCAGTGCATATCCATTTTGAGGTGTACTGTGACCCATTGGGGATTTTAAGTCTATAAGTACTGAGTATGTATTTCACTTTAGAATCTGTCTGTTACCCATTAGGTAGACTACTTGGCACTTTTTCCAAGTTTTCATTGACTCTGTCTTCAGTCTTTCAGGGATATATTGCCTGTGGGTTTTTGTCCTTCCCTGTACCCTTCTCTCTCACCACCCTATCAGAATCACTACCCTCAGGTAAATGAGCCTGCTCCTAGCAAGTGAGACAAGACCTGATAAATTTCCATCTATCCAGCCTGGTACCCAGACCTCTCAGATGCATTGCCGGGCACACACAGGCCTTCCCCATGCCTCCCGAGGAATAATCTCCTGGCCAGTATGGCACCATCTGAAAGTCCCCCGGTGCAGACTTTATCCTCAGAGGGTAATGGAAATGTCATGAGTCTGTCAGAAGTCTTACAGAAGGAGGCCCTTTGACTCGTCCGACTTCACCTTATCTTCAAGGGCTGTTTCTTTAGCACGAACATGACTTCCCTTCTGCTCTCACTAGTCCTCAGCTCCCTGGCTTAACCCAATCAACCCGTAGTGACTAGAAACGATAACGAGTATTGCCATTCCGGGGGTTCCCCTACTACTAATGGGGAATGCTGAATGGAAACCATTCTGTTCTGTGGGATGATTTTAGCATAGGGCTCTTGGAAAACGTCATCTTATCACTACATGGAATGTGTGTCTGTGCTAGGTTATTTACAGGCTTACGAAAACACCACGTGGATTGTCTAGCTGCTAAATACACACACACACACACACAAAATTCTGTCTTTCAGAACTTCAGAAAAATGGGGATTTTCCAAGGCAGTTCAAGAGATCTCATGTGGAAGAAGATAAGAAGGCCCACCATACTATGCGAGAAGGCCGTCGTTCGTGGAAAAACAGCAGGTGGCCGCAAGAAAAACAAGGAACTCACAGAGACGTGGTGGTGAGCAGGAGCAGGAGCAGGAGAGAGCGGGAGAGGCGCCCGGAGGCCGACAGGTGGCATGAAGTAGACGAGGACTTCCCCAGGGGCCCCCGACTCCACCAGAAGCCTCGCAAGTCTCTTCGCTCAGCACACGACCACAGGTCAAGAGAAGAAAAGCCGTCCAAAGAGGCCAAGCAGGGCAAACAGAAAAAGGAGAGAGACCTGGGCGATGATGAGCATGATAATTTATTTCTTATTAAGCAGAGGAAAAAAAAAATCTAAGTTCCGAAACCACTTTGGATCTGACTGTCTTTCCAGTGTTCATCTCTCTTTGTCTTATCGACAAGCCTCTGGCCCCATTTTTATTACTTTTCATGAAATAGAGTCTGGTTCAGGGCTTTGTTTGTAAATCTCAGCCACACATAGAGCCACTGAACGAAGAACAAGGAGATCTTAGTCCTCTGTAGCCAACAGGCTCTTAGGTAAGAAAACAGAAGGATAAATCCATGTGTTCCCTGTTCTAATGCAATTTGTGTAGAATTGATCTTTTCAAGAAAACTTTGACAGAAATACACATATATTTTAATATTAATGCCCATCTAGTGAAATGTATCTGCAAAGTGGGTGTGAAAAATTCTAATGAAGCTATCGGCAAAGTGGGTAGGGAAATTAACCCTTGAGGGAAGAGAACACTGATTAAAACAAAATGAGTCAAGCCAGTTTAGTGTTCTGTCTCTCTGATTTTTTCTTTTTTCAACATTCGAAAGGCTGGTAGCTGTTCTCAGTCCAAACCCAGCCTTTCTTGCTTCTGAAGCCAGTCCCAGCATCTTCCTTTGGTCACAGGCACAGGCTGGGGCCCGGGGAGACAGCGAGCCGGCGACAGTGGCGTACCAGGAAGGGGGCAGTCCCATGGAAATGTCTCGCGAGACGAGAGCCTGCAAAACGCTGACGTGATCACGCGCTCTCGTTTTCAAGAAGACTGTCACTCGGAGGTGGCTGTTGTTCAGCTTTAAAACAAAAGCAAGCCGTAGTTTGTTTTCATGGTTTTTTAACGACCGCAAAGCTATACAGATTTTTGTATACTTGTTAATCTTTTGTAGGTATGTATCAAAGCTTAATGTTAGAATACAAAAAAATAAAATGTCTGAAACACAATTAATGTGTCTTAATGTACAATTAAATATATGAAGGGCTTCAAGAAGTTTGTCGGAAATGGAACTGAGAGAAAATGACAGTGGGCACAGGTGGTAGATCTAGAAGCAGCTGCAGGGATGAAACGTCCGTGAGCCAGGGTGAAAGGGCCCTTGTTCCTTGGGCTCCCGGAATCCAGTGGGATGAGATCGGTTCAGTAGGACAGTCTTACAATGATGGGCCCTTAAATTTGTATTGTACTCTCTGAAAGGCAGCCTCGTTGCTGCATCTGTGATAGGATGAGCACTCTGATCTCATGAGGGAGGGAGGGGGGGCTATTCGGAATAGATTGTAGATCTACTGCAGTGGTTCTCAACCTTCCTAATGCCGCGACCCTTTCCACAAAATTATTTGCGTGGCTACTTCATCACTGTCATTTTGCTATTGTTATGAATCGGGCGACCCCTGTGAAAGGGGTCATGACCCACGGGTTGAGAAGCACTGGTCTACAACATCCCCTGCCACTTGCTCTGTTGCTGCTGCACACCCAGACAAGCTGTGTGTTGGTACATGGCTGCCTTCCGTCCGCTGGAATCGTTTGGATCCTGTGGTAAGAAACCAAAATCTCTTATGCCTGGTAAAAGCGACAGCCCCGAAGAACTTGACCAAAGTGGCAAGCTCGGAGCTGACTAGCGTCTCTCCTCAGGAGACTGGGATAGTCGTGGGGCAGCTGATATAGGCCAAATGAGATGGCCATCACTTGGGTTCTTACATAGACAGCAGACTAGGGCGGGGGAGAAAGCATGTACGCGCATGCTGCGTGATCCTAAAACTGTTGTTGCTTTCCCAAGTCATTGGTGCACATAGCTATTTCCATCCCGCAGCACATTTCTTGCTGTTTTTGGTAGACCAGTGGTGGATCCTGGGGTGTAGTCTGCCCCTCCGTCTATGCACTTGGCCACAGATGGGAAAGGCAGCTGTAGGTGCTGGGTGGTAGGCATCAGTTGGGGAAGGGAGGAAGAAGAGGCTCCACCCCACCAGCTCTCACCCCACCCGACCGCTGGGCCCCGGAACCAGGGTGCCAGTCAGTTCAGAGCGTTCGGTAGTTGGTTTGCACACCAACTCTTGCCGTGTGCAAATGGAGGATTAAAAGAAGTATAGAGGCAACAATCAAATAAGACTTTCAAGGGACAAAATACAAGGAGGCTTCAAACAAATCATGGAAAATTTCCAAAGGTTTTCAATAACACTTATCCACAAACCTTTTGAAGCTCCCTCTTCAGGGAACAAGACAAGCAGGTGTCTAAAGCAGTAACCTTGTGGCAAGTTCCTAAGACAGAACGCACCTTGACCAGAGCAGCCTGCTGGGCCTCTGCTCTAGGTCCCGCTGCGTTCCTGGCCGGGACTGGCGGGAAATGGCTCTCCCACACTCCTGGGAGCCCACCTCTTAAGCCAAGCTGATGACGGTGCCGCCACTGCAGAGCCACATGGTCTCGGGGCCTGCTGCGGGCTCTCTTTTGGATATTATGTGTTATATACTCATGAGAAAATGGTTAAGAAGAAAACAAAAACAATACATGATTCTTCTCCCCAAAGCTTGTTAAAAGTTTTCGTATTCTCCCAGACTTTTTTCTGATACATAAATATGCAGACATTTTTATATCGTTTCGTTATATGTTATTTTCACTTAATGCATTGTGAACTTCTTTCTTTCCAATTAAATACATGAAGGGCTTCAAGAAGTTTGTCGGAAATGGAATTGAGAGAAAATGATGTTTTTCCCATGACGTTTTAGATCTATAGCATTCAATTTAATGGCTTGTGGTATGACTGCACCGTGACACACAGACTCAACTCTGCTGAACATTTTGGTTTCTAATTCTCTCTTTTTTAATCCCATGCCTATATCTTCACCAGATACTTAATCACAAAGGTATGGGTCAAAGGGCATGCATGCACGTTTGATACATGTTGCCAGATCCTGTTCCCAAAAAGGCACCACTCCCTGCTTGTTCTCTACCCTGGCACCTCTGAGAGTTTGTCTTCCCATCTCCAAGCCGGGGAGGTGCCTTCTCGTTCTCACAGAAGGGAAAAAACAGGATGAATTCCACAGCGCGAAGATTGATGTCAAGTGCAAGGACACAAGACTAACAAACCAATAACCTCGATCTAATAAGCTAGAGGAGCAGCTTGTGGTAAGAAACTGAAAATTCTTCTGCCGACAAAGAATTACCCACAGAAGAGCTCCCCCCACCCATAGCTATCTTGATCCCCGGATTGGATCATTTTGTGACGTCACAACCTTCAAGGTACTGCTGGCATGATGAGTGGAATCCAGGCATGCCGTGCATCCTGCAGTGCCCAGCCCCACCCCCACAACAACTACCATTGACCCGAGTGTCCACTGTCCTGAAGTTGAGAACCCACATCCAGTTTTCAGAAGAAGCCCTCTTCCGAAATTTCGGCAATGCCGGGATTCTGGGAATAGCCGAGTGGCTGGAGGTGATCGCGCTGAGGACCAGCTGCCGAGAACGAGCTCGGAGTTGTGCGGAACGCCCTCCCGGCGTCGTCAGCCGCGCACTGACCGCGCGCGAGCGAGCATCAGAGAGACCGGCCTTCTTACCAGTCAGAAGGGAAACGCCCTCGATCATGGGACATTGGCTGTGCCTGTTCTGTGCCATCGAGTCGGTTCTGACTCAGTGACCCCGTGTACAACAGGGCAAAACGCCCCGGTCCTGCCCACCGCACAGTGGTTCTTACGTTCGAGCCCATTGTAGCAGCCGTTGTCACTCTGCCTTATCGAGGCTTGATGCCCTTTTCCAGGCACCGGCCTCCTGGTGGCGAGAGGAAATCTTGCCATCCTCGCCTTCAAGAGGCTTTCTGGATGTACTTCATCCAAGACCGACTGGTTTGTTCTTTTGGCAGTCCGTGGTACTTTCACTATTTTGACAGTACCGTATTTTAAACGCAGTGGTGTTTCTTCGATGCTCCTTAGTGTCCAACTTTCAGTATCTAACTTAATCAGTATGCAACTTTCAAATTGCATGTGAGCCATTTGGGAATGACATGACAGGTCAGGTGTACCTTGGTCCTCAAAGTACTATCCTTGCTTTGCAACACTCTCACGGCGTCTTGTGCGGTACGTCCTTCCGTCAGCATTCACTGGGGATCCAAGCAGGATGAAGTCCTGGACAACTTCCATCCTTTCTCCGTTGCCATGTTACCTAGCGGTCCAGCTGAGAGCATTGGTTTTCTTGAGGAGGAGTTGTGATCCACACTGAAGGCTGCAATCCTTGATCTCCGTCAGAAGGTGCTTTCAGTTCTCGGTTTCAGCAGGCAAGACTGTTGTCTGCATTATCACAGGTGCTTAATGTCACAGCCTCCCTCGAATCCAAATGCCACTTTGTCATCATATAATCCAGCAGCCCTGATTATTTGCTCGGCATGCAGCTGGAACATACTTTAGACGATGACTACTCCATCTGAGTTTTGCCTCAGTACTGGAGAACGATTAGACAAGCTCTAAACACTGCTCTGTCTATTGATAGAATGGAGACACAGAATGCACCACCCCATTCTATGCATGACATCAAAAGGGGGGCAAGTGAAGCTTGAGGTTGCCCTTCCAGGTGGGAAGGTCAGAAACAGCCCCTCGGGAAGGTGGTTTCAGGCTGGCAAAGGGAGGGGTGAGTGCAGACTCCCACGGGAGCTTGCCCAGCCTGGGTGTGCTCATGCACTTACACTTTGTCAAGCCTCAGGCAAGTCTTCTAATTAGTAATACAAGTTATGCTAAGCAAAGAAGAAATACCATGAAATATGAGGGCTTCAAAAAGTTCACAGAAATGGAATTAAAAGAATGTTGGGGGGGGGGGTTGTAGGTTTTTTAATATAGGATTCACATACATCCATAGTTAAATCACTTTTTTTTTAAGTTGTATATACATCATCACAATCACTTCTGCTCCCTCCCCTTTCCACATTCAATCTTTGCTCCCCAAATCACCCCCACCTCACCTGACATCCATCCCCAGAAAGCCATTGCATCAGTTATTGTCTCTGTGCATCCACTCCTTCTGTGTTTCATAAACTGGGAGACTTAACAGAAACAATAAAAAGTAAGAAGGGAAAAGCAATAGTTTTTAAAGGCAGAGGAGAAATTTCTGTCATGGAACAAGCGAGAAATCCTTGAGCCTAGAGCAAATTCAGGTTGGTCAAGAGGGAGATCCACTGATCGGGTCTCATTATGCCATGATTCAGTCCGCCATAATCAAGTTTACAATAACCTGCCCGAAAATGAAGTTGTTTGAGTCCCTCGCCTGTGGCTGGAGGGGATCTGCCAGCAGCTTAATCTGACTCGATCTCTACAGATGGGTTTGGGGTTCGCATTTTAAGCTCTGATGCTTTTCCCTTCTTAGTTGGATGTGGTTTTCAGCTTTGGGCCACTCGCCCGTGTGCTTCCTCATTGTGGACTGAGTTGACACCTCACTTGGATGGCTGCATGTTTGAATACAAGCCTTTGAGACCCCAGACACTATTCCAGTTGATAGTTGGGCAGATAATGGAATTGTCCCACAAACTTTTTGAAGCCCCTTCATGTAATGCTGAGGAAAAACAGCTGACATTTTAGAATATCGCTACACTTAGGTTTTCTTAAGGACATTTAGTCCAGGAGGAGTTGCTACTAGTCATAGTCAGTGTTTTAGCGACCCATGGGCTTGGTTACACATTGGGCTGCTAACAGCAAGATTAGCAGTTCAGAACCACTAAGCATTCTGAGGGAGGGAGACGGATGCGGCTTTCTAACAGAGTTACCGTCTCAGAAACACAGGGAGTTCTACCCTATCCTGTAGGGTCCCTGCGTCGGCATCGACCCGATGGTGGTGAGTTGGGGTTTGGCTTTGTCATCATCCAGACATGTTTCCTGTCCTCCGTGAGCTTCCACTCTAGGGTGGGGGGAGAAGCGCTAAGGTGATGGCCTTGTCAGATCGTGAAGAGTCCCAGATGCTGGTCTGTCCACACAAAGG